TTTCAATATCAATTAAACTCATCATTGTTAAAGCTCATCACCATTATCATTATCATACTCATAAAAAAAAAACCAACTCTCTGTGTTCTTGAAACTTTACATCAAGAAAATTAAAATAAAATTAAGGTCATTACAAATTTTTTAACGACCCATTAGACTTATTTTATTTTATGCAATAAAAGTTATTTTTATAAAAAATTATCTATATAATCAAGGTGATATGAATAAAAAAATAACTTTTTAATATTCTTCATCACAATTTATCATAATAATGACTTTTTTTTTTGCGAGCAAATGAAGTCTTATACCTGTAACAAATTGAATGATTATCTTTTATCACAGAAAAAAAATTCACTGACATATGGTTGTATAAATATTGTTCTTTCCTTACCAATAATGAAGAAAATTGGCAAACAAAGCAAAAAGAAATAAACTCTACATCAGTAATGTTGCATGATCCGGGAAATCACAATACTAGAATAAATTCATCGATAATATCGGTCACATGTTACTTATTGTCCAATCAGAAGGGATCAATATATCATAATTTTAGTTTTGCCTGTCTTATTGATAAAAGAAACGTATTCTATCTGAAATTTGGTAAAAACTTGCAGTTAAAATTGGTCTGCTGAAAAAAAAAAAATTTCCACAGACAATTGGTTAAATTTGGATTTCTCCACATTTAAAATGATGACAGTAATAAAAGTTTCATAATCATATTTAAGTACTAATTCTCAACTATGTTTCATTAACACTCTAACCGCCAGCGGTTTGAAAAAATAGTATCAGCCAGCGCCCAACATTTTAGCAAATGTTAACACTTTTACGAAGCTCGTTGAGAGTGCGTATGTGATCAGATTGACATGTAGTGAATATTACAAGAACTACAAACATTTTGGCTTTACAATAGTACCAAACACTTTATTCTACTCAGAATCTGTGACCCATAACAGTAAAATGAACATGACTCACTTCTGGAGATTTATGCAATTTCGCACAAAGAAGCTGTAATAATCGGGATTTCGTGAAAGTAAATCAATACCGCTTAACGTAAGCAAACCAATAGTGAAATACTTACGGTCCAGACTGAATATAGTGTTCAAATCGTTAGTACATGTCGGTAATTACCCCATCTATCGGATTCCGTAAAAAAAAACCTGAAACACGGAAATCTCCATGTTTGGCGGTCAAGCGTTGCATTACCAAACACGAAGACCTCCGTGTTTGGCGGGCAGAGTGTTAAGGAAAGACATAACGTTTTTTTCTTAATAAAAAATAAGAAAGTCTAACAATAATCGTTCTACAAACGCTTTTAGGGATTTTTAAAATTATAAACAGCAAGTTTCTAAAAAGAAAATCTCAAGCGCTTAGAGGCATTTTGCAAGCTGCAATGTAAAGTTATGTATTTTTATTATTACAAAGATCCCAACAACCGCCAAGAATTTTGTGTTTAGAAGTTACAAGTGGAAAGCCAAAGTGGAAATGCATAGATTAAGTTTTGAAATTGTGTTGCCTTTTTTTTACATTATATTTTCACTTTCTAATTAATTTTTTCCTATGGAATAAAAATTATATATAAATATACATATGCCTTATAATCTTGTCTCTGTATAAACATCCTTGATAACTTATGAAGTCTTGGAATATTCAGAAGAAAGTAGTTTTTCTGTTTTTTTTGCTTATATTTGTGTCTATCACAAGACACTGTATTCAAAATAACCATTACTGAATATATCCACCAGACAAGACAATTTTACAGATCATTGTCCTATTAGTCTCTCGTAGTATTACATTTATTGGTTTGAAACTGATCTTACTGTATTAAGGATGTAATTTTTCATTTATAGGAAGGTAGATTGAAGGTGTAATATGAACAATATTACATACAGTATCACTTTAATGTTTTCTGTATCTGTTTGTGACGATGCTTGTTGAAATTATTTATCTCCTCAATAAATTAAAATCATTTAATTATAAGTTACAAAACAGCAGAAGAAAACCAAATAAACAATTAAGAATAATCAATTATCCAATTAACCAAGTATCTTATTAATTATTACCAATTAAATTTTTTTCTAACTAACTTAATTTCTATAATTTTAAATTTTGTTTCACTGACATTTGTGGTAATTTATTTATTTTGTGAGATGTGAGGTTGGCTGAGAGGTATTGTTCCTGCTTCTTGTGCTGAACACCCCTGTTCAAACCAGCCAGCGTTAGGTTTTAATTTTGATCGCTTGGCTCCTTGATTAACCCTCATATTTTACTTGGACAATAAATCATCTTAGTATCTTCTTGCAAAGGTATTAAGTTAGTTACTGGAATCTGTATACAGGAATTGCCTCCTAGGTTTCGGCATTTGTTAGTTGAACAGGTGGAAATAAATTATTACTATTATAGTTATTATTATTCTTTATTTTTATCACTTAAAAGCATCTTATATTTAATTGTTTTGTTGCATTTAGTTCTGTGTATTGGTAATAGACAGAATTAGTCACCAAAACAAAGCTGTTATAGTGGGTATTTTATGTATTTTTTATTAGAAGCTAAGTGTCTTGAATAGTTTCAATGAATTTTTAAGAATACTTTCAGATATTTTCCATATACAATACATCTTAAATACCAATAGATTGAAATTACTATTACTATATTACCTGAAAAGAAATCTGAAAACATGCTTAGAAATTTTAATCTGTGAAAAAAATGTCATCCATTATTGATAATTATTTATTACATAATTTAATAATACTTACATCTTTCTCTTCTAAATTCTTCATCACGGTGCGAAATGCTCGTGGTCCGACAGTGCGTCGTCCGTCACCTATAGCAGAAGAATCTTTCCTCTTGGCTGTAGATGAGAATGATTTCAATTACACATTTTCCATACCGTATCTATCGAAATTGATGATACATATTTAATTTCAACCTAATTACATCTGGAGAATCATACAACCTTTATGCCTTCCTTGCTTGATAATTTATGTGCATATTAATGAACCTTGTAATAAATAGGCTACAGTTTTCTCAAGATATAATATGAATTTGTGGTATTAACACATTAAAACCTTAAGAATACCGAGTATAGTAGTAATGATGTAGGAAGTCATAAATTCTACTGTTTCAAGACAGAATAATGTTAATGATAAAAGTATAATAATGATAATATAAATGACAATAAATAGTAATAATAATAACTTATTAATAATAACAATGATAATACAAAATAATAATTATTTTAGTAACAATTAACTAAAATTTGGATATGGATTTTATCAATATGCATAAATGTAACAATTTTTTGTTATTATATACAATTTAAATGTAGAGGTAATGTATTTTTTTAAATTTCTTAATTATATTTTATACTATGTACTATAAACATTTAAAAAAAGTTAAAACATAGTTATTAAAATGGTGTATTCTTACCCTGACAGGGACATGGGACTACCTCTACCTTGCCCCACCCCATTCTTGAATGAACCCTAGGATAAAGCCTGGCCTACATAACAGTTCATAGTAAAAAAGGAAAATTTGTGACCAGTTGGCCCTGATTTTTACTTGTCGCTTTGCTTGCACGACATAACAAATATTTTTTGGCGTCTGTGGAATCATAATTTTCACCAGCCTACTATCATTATAGACTTTGTTTATGCGACTTATAAATCAACATATATTATGACAAAATAAGTCTTGTGGTACGCCTGGTCAATTTGAGACACAAAAATTATGAAGCATGTTTTCAGATATCTGAATTTGAAAATGATCTTACTTTGGTTGTGCTCAATCTAGGACCTCAAAACAAAGACCAACATAAAGCCTAATATATTCACTTATCTAATATATCAACAACTAATTTTTCATTTTTGTACAACAAGACTCATTTTGTTACAACAGCTCACATTTAAGGTGTTGAAAAATATATATTGGTCATAAAAAATAGTGTATTTTATTGCTGGATAGAACATGGTACAGTTTTCAATTTCTTGCATCAATAATTTCAAGTCCATTAATAATATTTCTTGTGTTTCTGCTGACAGTTTGGAAATTATGTTTGGATGAAACCAAATACTTTTCATACATAGAGAAATGCTGATATAAAATAACTATCAAATTCCTTGTAATGAATTATTCCCATACAATAATTTTTATCTATCTAATATTGGTGTACTCATAATTCAAATTAATTTTGTGAGATGAATTATTAAAATGGAATTATTATGGAAATCTAAAGAATATATACAAGTAAACATAAAAAAGTAAAATGACAATTTAAAAAAAAAACACACAAAAATTAATCCAACATAATGAAGGTGCAGTATACTGTTAAAAATTTTAAGGCCTTTCAACGGCAAAATTCAATAATCTATTTATGTATTTTCTATATTATGTAAAATACAACTGACTCGCAACAATGTACTAACATACACTATATAGAATTCTTATAATTATTATTAATAATACATAAGAATATAGTAATCATACCAAATAATACTTACTCATAGTTTCAAATCAGATATTCATTTAGTATTTTACAGACATCATGAATATTACCATTATCATTTTTATTATTATTATTTATCTATCATAATTTTATATATATAAAATCACTGAAAAAGCCTAGAAAGGCATATGGTTATGTGATAACAAGGTGATTGACTTTTGAAAATCAGATATTCATTTAATAATTTAGAGACCACTAATATTACCATTATAATGGATGAATATACATAATAAAGTAAAGTAGTTTATTAGTACGCAAACGTTTTCGGGCATCGCCCTTCATCAGGTATACGTGATTCATTAGGTATATATATATAAAATCACTTAGAAAGCGTAGAAAGGCATATGGTTATGTGATAATAAGGTGACTGACTTTAAAAACTGAAAAGAGAAGCTAACACTTAAATAATTCATAATAATCTTAAATTACATTTTAATCTATTAAACAAATATCTACCATGAGGTTATGGCCTAAACCCCTAGTAAACTTCAACCACAATCAATTTATTCACTTTCCTCGTAGCCCCTGTCGTTGTGGAATGATGTGAACATGTATCTACCAAGAAGCGCCTCTTTACGGCTGCTAGGTAGTCACAGACCACGCCCATACGCAATTCAGCACAATGACGCTGCAAGTTATGGGTTATTCTCCTACCTCTACCTTTACCTTTATGCTGGCATCCTGTTTGCGCAACAAAATTAGCCCGACCGTCAGGGATTCATACGAAAAAAGTTTACGCTTTTCTTCAAAATTCCTAATGTTTGTTTGTACAAAATGTCTGGGTGACTTCTAACCTGGTTTGACAATGGCAACGATAATAAATAGGTCAAGGAAAAACTATCCAATAGGAAACAAGCTTTTGTTTACCTGTCATGGGGAAGTTTGTAATCCCAATTAATTAGTACAGGTAATACCACAAGGGAGTGTACTTCAACCAATCTAGTTGTGAATCTACCACCAAAAGTGACTGTAATACAGTATATTCTTATCATTATATCTCCCTGGCGATATTAGTATACACACAAACAGTATATACACACAAACAGTACTTCTCTACAAGGTTAGGAATATGCAAGATTTCTATTTAACTCACTATTTTTGAAATGTAATTATGTACTTGAAAATAGACTGTGTGATAACAAAGAAAAGTATTAGTTTGAAGAATCAGCATTTACTAAATAAAGAAATGTATTGTGTTAAACTGACATTGTTTCAAACCTCGAAATGCCAACTCTTTAAATGTAATCTTTCTTAAATCGAATGGTGAATGCTTTAAGCAGTCTTATAGATAAGCAGGTGCTGTATTAAGCGAACGATGTGTGGTAATGGCTGGCTTCAAAGCAAGACTTAATTTGCGTGGGAAAGAATTAACCTTCACCTACGATAGTCAACGTGTCAACAATTGAATGTTTAAACGTTGTTCTCATCAAACAACAAGTACACCACTGGATAAGATTTTTAAATAAATAAATAATATAAATAATGTAATGTTTTGTATTCATTCATTCACTTTTATTTCAGACATTGTCCATATGAAATACATAAATAAATATTAGTACAAGTACATGATGTACAGAGTACAACAAAGACAAGATGCCTGCTTGAACACATACAAAATAATACATTGACTGTACTTCATTTTCAATTCTTTGTTTTCAATTCATATTTTTGGCACAGACCAGCAAATTGGTTGGTAATTGATTTAAAGGAATTGTAGTAAAAATGTCTGTGAAAAAAAAATTGTTTCAATTTACAGCTGATTTTAAATTATTTGACTCTTTCATTGAATAATTCAATGAAAAAATAAATATTTAATTCAAATTATTGAGGGCAATTTGAGTGGTAAGAGCTGCTAACTACGGTCTTAACATCGGTGCTGGTTTGAGATAATTCACTGGTGATACGCTTGGTAGAATCAAGTCTTCTCAGAAATGGATTAAAACCGGAGGTCCAGTGTACATATCTGGCATGTGGACACTTGAAAGAACCAATTGCATCTTTCGATATAGTAGAGGACGCCATCGCCGATGCTATGGTTCATTTCAGCCACTGAGGGCCTCTCTATGGTAGCTACAGTAGTCACGGATCACGCCCATACACAATTCAGCACATATTGCTGCGAGTTATTCTCCTACCTTACTTTTATTTTATCACAGACAGTAAATACAGTATCTGTAATTTGTTTTAAAAACAAATTACTTAATTAAGTCCAATTTGCAATTCTCGATGTTATGAAGAATATGCTTTAATCTTGTATAAAGCAGGGGCGGATCCAGAATTTTTAAAATGGGAGGGAACAACATATTTAGAATAAATAAGTGAGAGCACTAATTTCAATATATGCCTTGAAATTTTAAAATTTAGTGGCCGGGGGGGGGGGGAGAAACGTGCCTCCCCATGCCCCCTACTGGATCAGCCCCTGTAAAGTATTTTGTATAAAGCCACATAAATAAAATCAAACTTACAGCGAATGAAAACCTTTTGTCCTCCGAGAGGATAACTTGGAATTTCCAATGGAAGTGGGGAAGATGATGACTCTAAGAAGACTTGGATATTGTTGATACTGATTTTACGATTTTCACACAATTGCTGGATTGCTTCTCTGATGAAAAAAATTAAACAAATTTATATTAATGACAAAAATTAACGACAACAATTAATTACATCTGTAGTAAAAGAGAAATGGTAACAATGATAATTTTTTGTATATAAGGTTATTACAAATTATGTATGGTAATAAAATAATTTAAAAAAAAATTTGCAATAAAAAAATTATTTTACTCAATTCCACTGTTCAATCTAAATAAATCCAAAACAACATAATACGAAATAAGTAGGTCGACCTAATTAATTAAATTACTTGGCAAATCCATAAAAAATAGAAGAACCCTTTGAAGCGCAGCTCTGGGCAAATTAAAGAGACATAAATACCCCACAGGAAAAAAAAAGTTAGTTACAAATTGAGTAATCATTCGCAAGAATGCATAACATACTCAACATTACGAACAGAGAAAATGAGTGACATTGGCTTGGTAAACCGTATAAAAAGACGTTTAAATTATATGTACTGTAAGACGAGTTCACATTAAATGCTGATGCATATTTTGTGACTAATGCATTTCTCTTTAGCGCTTGAGGGCGCTTAAAGTCTATAAGTTACGATTAAGATTTAAGGTGTCGGTGTAGTTACATAAGTTGCCATCAACGTGTTCTCTGTTAAACATTAATGTAACATAACCGACGCTGATTAACTGAACCCCGAAGAGTAGCAATGAAATTTTTCTACTTGATAAATACGTGCATTGTGGTTTATGAGCGTAATGTTGTGAACCCGTACTTACTGGGGAGTAACTACTTCTTAACATGCTCGTTAATCACTTTAAGTATGTGCTGTATTTCCGCGTGACACAAATCATTTTGAGAGGCGCCTTTCTCCTTCGGCAACAACTCCATGATTCATCCGTAACAATCCGCACGAACATTTCTAATAAATATTTGACACATGTTATTCTCCGATTCATTGCAGCATACCGCAGGTAAGACACTAATGTACAGGAAAGCAAAACAAGACTGAGGTAGCGAACTGTCACCGACCTCATTATGACTATCAGTTTGTGAAGGTTATGTAAAAATGAGATGCGTAATCGTCTATAAATAAGAGTTTCTCCAAGCATAATCAATTTCTTGTCATTTCTTTTCAATGTCATGCTCCATACTCTAGAGTAGTGTGTATTTTCACGTGCAGTATACAATCAGTTTCACGTGGAAATAGAGCAATTCCGCGACTTCTGTCATCAGCCAGTAGGTTACAAATAGTACTGTAATAATTTTCTGAAAAAAATGTGCGGAGTAGTACGTGGGAGATATTATGCAACGTTCATCCAATGTTGTTAGTGCAGGACTTGGTCTTTTCAACATGATTTTAGTAATTCTGTAGCGTGTTAATATTTCTAATTTCACAAGACTGAAATGGTTACAAATCTTGGATATTTTTCAAAGCTTAGGAGACCTACAGTAGACAGCGATTTAAATTTTTAACTAATATGGCTATGCGACTCCTAATTCCATACGGATTCTGTTATATCCCTCTGAATATGCTTGGGCTTATATTATAAGCAGATCATTCACAAGAGATATTACAAAGCTTGGGGAAGCGTATGCCACTCGTATCTATTATAGTTTGCTGTGATTCAGAGGTAAAATAAGCAAAATTTGTCAAAAAATATCATAAATCAGATGACGTAGAAAGATATTACAATCTAATATAAATTTTTCAATCAATCGTTTTAGTAATTTCATTTGATAATAAAACAATAATAAAGACATTATATTATATAATTTAATAGGATTTGTTACATGTTTGTTTATGTAACTACAGAATATTTCCTGCTCTCACACACATTAATGTACAATGAAACCTGTTGATTGCTTGTTCTAGTTCATATGCTTTCATATTAATCTTATGTTTACATAACTTCTTCACTTCGATCTAAACACAGCAATATATCAATACAGAAGGGGAATAAACGCAATAGGTTTCCTGAATGTCATGAATTTACACAACATCAGAAAGTAATCCTTGATAATACCTATGGTGGATAATTATAAAACATACATGGCCAAATAGAATTAACTGTTAGTTCACATCCATGATTTGAAATTATTCTTGGTGAGGGTATTTTACAATTTGCTATTTACCAACCTATACTAGCAGTAAAAAAATTAATCCTTGCCAAGCCATGGGGCTCATATAGGCTGGAGCGTATCTACAGTTTCAAGTATTGTGAAGCGGATGAGAGTGTGATGCTCCCGCCCCCCCCCACCCCCAGGCGTAAAATGAATCTTTGTAATGCATTCTGAGATTTATGTTTCCACCTCTTCTTTGGTTTTCAAATCGTCATAATTTTTATTTTCCATGGAAATATGATTGTTTTTTGAAAAATAGCAAACAGTTAATTTTTTTATGAGGCTCAAAAATTTGATGAGGGCGGAGACATGAAACCAATTAACTTTTTTTTGGCCTAAACATACTACATATTTCACTGAGTTTAGAAGCTTAGTGTAGAGTCAAATTTCATCATGGATTTAAGCTGTCTAAATAAAAATCTTTTATTACAAATCCAGAGAAAATCTGCTGTAAAAAATACAAGAAAAATAACTAATAACAAAAAATTGTACAGTTTTAGAGAAGTCAGTTGCTTTGCTGTGAGTAAAGAGTTATATCATATACTAAATCAATTTACCAATTAATTACATTAAAATCATACTGATCATTTATCTAAACATTTTTTCTAACATTGTTTTTATTTTTAAAAATCAGAGTCATAGACAAGTCAAGTTGCATTGCTGTGAGTAAATAGTTATATCATAAATTAAATCAATTTATCAATTAATTAGATTAAAATCATACTGTCATTACCTAAATCATGGAGTCATAGAGAAGCCAGCTGAGTAAATATAATCATAAATTAAATCAAATTATCAATTAATTACAATGAAATCATATTCCCATTATCTTATTATTTTTTTTAATGTTACAAAAAAAAAAAAAAATTACAGAGTCAGAAGTCAGTTGCATTGCTGTGAATAAATAGTTAAATCATAAATTAAATAAATTAATTAGATTAATTTATTTAATTTATTTATTAAATTAAATAAATTAATTAATTAGATTAAAATCATACTGTCATAATCTAGACATGTTTCATTAAATTTTGGTTTGCAACTGAAAATCATAACAAGAAAATAATTCCTCACTGATTAACAAGATGTATACCAAACAATACATTGATATATCCTTTGCATCTTAAGACCATTAAAACTGGCTGGTAATCAGTTTTTGGATTATTAAAGCTTTAAGTCCGATAAATCAGTTAACAACTGAATTATTTTGATACAAGTCTCATTAAAAGTTAACAATCTATTTAATCCCTTTAAATAAGCAATTTAAAATTTTAATTACACTTTTGATGGTTTACATATTTTACCACAAATTGTAACGAGTACCTAGGCCTAAAATGAACTGATTGTAAGCTAGGCCTTGTGGCTAGCGACAAATCAACAGTGGACTTGAACCGGTTCACCCTCATTAATTCCGTTTATAGCACACTGATATATTGACAAACTTTAGCTCATTGATTTGAGGAAAGAGAAAGGAAATCTTTTTTGACTGCTGTTAATTGATATTCAATTTTAATTACACAGAAAATCACTTGGATCAAAAAAAGGTAAAGGTAGGAGAATAACCCATAACTTGCAGCATCATTGTGCTGAATTGCATATCAAACAATGGGCTTACACATACAAAAGAACCGAAATGAAAACATTGGCAGATGTGTATTGTTAATTACATGATCGAACATGTTGACTGAGTTGCGCTAGTTGGGTCAATTAAATTTATAGCATGGCTTGCAACTGTCTGGAGTAATTAACAATTTGTGGTATGTCCAAAACAAACTATTTATTATTTATTGATGTAAACTTGACTTTTCATTTAAGTACCGTACACTAGCGCACCTGATGAGTACAGCATGGAATGGTGGTCTAATAACTGTCCATACAAAAAACTTTGTACTGCTGTATACAGTAGTATTGATTAATATAGAATAAATGCAATTACTGTAAAATCCCTATTAAGGTGACACCTTCAGGACCAAAGAAATGTCCCCAACATAAGGGTGTCCCCTGAATGGAGGTTGGCTGTAGTGTTAAAAGATATATTTTTCCTTGTTTCGTGGCTGAAAAAGTGTCCCCTTAATATGGATGTCCCCCAAATGGTGGTGTCCCAAAGGAGGGGTTCTACTGTAATTCTAAAGTTTGTTTACATATGTACAAGTTTGTTCCAAACTTGCTGAGTGCTCTCTGTGACAATTTCAACAAGATTACCTTTTACATTGTGTGTGTGTTATGAGCTTTTTCACGCTTAGCCCAGTGCATATGTTCCGATACATGTTTGTGGATGTGTCCCTGTGTATCTGTCTCTAGGCACTGGAGTATGTTTCTCTGGCCTAGTTTCTCTGAGTATGCACATCTGGGTATGTATCACTCAATATGTCTCTGTATGTGTCAAGGGTATTATGTAGTAGGGAGAATGTTGTGTATCTGAAGCTACAGGATATATCATAGTGATTATGTGTTCAGGTGTAATGTACACAAACTCTATACATGTATGTTTTGTTATGGTGTGGGATGTCTGTGGGTATGTGTCAGGGTATATATAAGGGTATATGTTCACACTAACCTGAGGTTTTTTCCTTTGATTGCTGGAACTTTCGCAACTTCTTTAGCTCCTACGACTTCAAGGTCCACATAGAAGAAATCTCTCATACGCTATAAGCCAAATTTATAAAAATGTAAACTTCAAGTAGGTACAGAAAGAAATGGGAATGTCAGTCAGGTTGTAGAAACTAAAGATGGGGGATTTAATGAGATAGGGAATCACATTTTATATTACAGATTTGAAATATCAAATACTGTTCATGTTAGAAAGCTAAATTGTAAGATCAATAATGGTCAGGGTTAGGCTAGGCACAGGACAAATTAGGGGTAAGGCTAGGGTCAAAGAAAGTAGTCAAGATTGTCTAAAAATGATCTAATACACAAATACCAACAGATCCAAATGGGAAGGCGTTTGTTTAGAGAAAACATATTTTTAATACCAGATTTTCACAGATTTTTTTTTTATACTTTAATATAAATAAAATGTTTATAAATAGATTGTGAATTACTATATACATGTTATGAAATCCAGGAATGGTCATGTTTGTATAAAAATAACGGGCATACATTTTCCATAATGGAATTGTAAATTTATCAGGCCTATATATTTATAATGAAACATTTATGTAAATGAATTGCATTTCATGAGCATTTTGTAATCCTCTCATATTTTGAACATATTTCTTAATAACATTTTTTTTATTTGAAATGAGGGTGAAAGTTTAGCAGTTTATATTCTAGCAGGGATTTCTAGCACAATTTCTATTCATGACACTTAATGTTCTATATCGTTAGAGTTGACAGGCATTATTGTTCATCCTAGATTCCCAGTTCCCTTAGCCCAGTTTCTGTGAATCAATGTCTATTAATGTCTACGTGTTTCTCTCCATTTGATTAATGGGAATGTTGTTGTTAAAGCTAGGTCTTCAAGTAGCTTTCAAACGAGTATTTCACATACACTACAGATGGAAATATCAACAAAATGCACCAAGAATATGGTAGCTAAAGCTCTGTCTAGACTACCAAATTTTCTTTGACAAAAAACTGTTGTATGCCCATATATAGGCATGATGTGCCTATATATGGTCATGATGTGATGTCATCATGACCATATTTAGGCATGTCCCATGTTTTTGTCAAAATCCAAGGGATTTGCCTACCGGTTTGGAAGATACATGGTTTTCATCTTTGTTAACCCTTTCCAGTGTGCTCCATTACCATTGCCTGAGGCTGTACCAAAGCTGGGAAATTACATCATCTACACTAAATGTCGGGTTTTTACTGGAAAGGGTTAAGCGTGTCGAAGGCTGCTCAAGGTATAATGTGGTACCAGCATGGCCGTAGGATACCGATGCACCGCCGCCCCCCCCCCCAAAGCAATTAGCAAATTAGTTCCAATAAGTGGGTAAAAAGCATTAAGATTGAACGTTAAGTTTTCATTGGAATCCGGATTTAGTTCTAAATTCTGGGATTCAATTTTGCATTCTTATTTTTCGCACACCTGCACACAAGCTGAAACCAACCCCCAGTATAAGTCATATATACTGTATTATTTTCGTGTGTCGGAGCACAAATTGTATCCTTGGGCTATGCACTTTCTTCATGCAGTCTCTATAGAGCAGTATAATTGTGTACCTTTCATCATTTATCCCCACCTTTCAATATCATATCATGCACCTTTGAAATTTGTCTGCATCGTTTATTAGAAATTATTGCATTATCACATGTTTAATTATGATTATCATTACCACGGAGTGTTCAAATGTCAATGTACTATACCAAGCTAGAACACAATGGAACATTCCCCGGGAGCTGAGCGTGATTCGCAAAGGCGTTATTTCTAATGTTTGGAGTAATAATGCGAAGTGACCTTAACAATACCATATGTACTATATATAATGGGGGTTAATACAAATTTTTTTTTTTTTTTTTTTAAATTGAATTTGAATATTTGTAATTTATTCTGCTATATATGTTTCTGCCTCTTATGCCGGGCCCTCGCATGCCACAGTCGTATGACCATCGCACGATGAATTTAACTCCACTCCCGGTAAGCGCTAGACGTCGCGATGACGTCTGCTGATTGTCGGTGGCATTCTGAATAGATCGTCATTAAAAACAAGCCATTGCACGTTTCGTGACGTTGCGATCGCCATAGAGCCGCGTTGGCCGTTGTCAGGAGCATGAGTGCCCGGCTTCATGCTTTGAAAACAATTTTTCAAATCGTCAAAAGTAAATATTTTGATGAGGCCCCAAAATTTGATGAGGGGACTGAAATTAGCAATTCTAATTCTAATACTAGAAAAATTATTAGAAATGATTATTCAGGAATGACATTTTCAATTTAAGATTTGGAAAATATAAACATGAGGGATTCCCCAATGCACTCAGAGATTTGTAATTTAAATAATTTTCTTTGGCCTACTACTAGAATAAAATATTAAAAACTAATATTTAGGAATGACATTTTTAATTTCAGATTCTCTAGTACACCATTCTCTGACTCTGCGAAAGGGATTTGCCATTTAAATTGCTTAATTAATTTGTAGAACAAGTAGCATTGACCTGGTTTCCATGTAAAATATGGATTCTTTAATCACTAATGGTTCATTTATCATACTTCAATGGTTCAAGGGAAATCAGAAAAAGAAACAGCATGACTGTATGGCCACATGGAGATGCAATTTAAGATGCAATAAAGTTTCCTTAATACTATAACACCTCGAATAGAAGCCCAATGGGTTTAATCTTGAGAAGCCTATCTCAAATTGAAGCCACCCCCACCCCCCAGTGATGGCGCCAGGATCTGCCCGACGGAGGGGCTAAAGGGTCTAAGGGGGGAGGGCTAGTTGAGCGAATCGAGTCTCATTTGGCTGGGGGCCAGGGGCCGCCCAGCTCTAGCCCCCCAGCCCCCCTGGCGCCACCACTGACACCCCCTCTTTAGTTTGCAAAAGGAGCCTCGAAAAGAACCCCATGGGCTGTTTTTTAAGATAGCATAGGCTTATTTTCGAGATAGAAAAGTACACAATCTGTACATGAATTTAAAACAAACAAAACAAATTAAAAACCTGCTTGGTTTATACAGATAGCATAGATAAGATAGCATAGGCTTATTTTCGAGATAGAAAAGTACACAATCTGTACATGAATTTAAAACAAACAAAACAAATTAAAAACCTGCTTGGTTTATACAGTAGTTTTATTTTATTTTATTTAGTTGATTTAATGCCGGTTACCACACTCCATGATACAGACTGAAGTAGCCACTTGTTTTATAGTAGTTCCCAAAATATAAGGTATCCATTTTTGAAAGAAGCCCCCTATTTACGCTGCAAAATTAGCCTCGAAAAAGAAGCCCATCCAAAAGTCACAAAATAAAAGAAGCCCAGGGCTGCTATTCGAGATTTTAGGGTATAAAAATAACAAGAAATAGTCCTTTGTCAGAGTTTGTAAAGGCTACACAGATCAATTGAATCTGAGCACAGCATGAAGTCCAATTAATTAGTAATTAGTAAGCCACTCAATAAATCAATCCATCAATTAAAGGTTCATAAAATTGAACTTGTGGCTCAATTAATCAAATCAGCTACTCCACAAATCCAATTACCATCCAGCTAATCACTAGTCAACCTATCAATCACATGATTCAAGGCCAATCAATCATAAATCAATTAATACATGATTAAAGAGGGTAATTTTCAGGAACTTAGCACCATTGTTCATTTAACCACATATCTATGTATTGTGATTTAAATCACATGTTTCCAATGTACTTTGTAATTAGTAACATATAATTTGTTTTGAATATAAAAAGAGGTTTACGGTAATTATGATTTTTATGGAAATTCGACTTCTTGTGTTTAGCAAGACTTCTTTAGAACTTTTTAGCTGGCCTGGCACCTCACACTCCCCCCCACCCCCACCTCCTTAAAATAAAATTAAAAAATTGGGGAAAAAAGAGAAAAATATTCAAAGGTTAAATCACGACAGTGCCATTTCCTGTCATCTAAACGTGTCATAATCATAAGTTTACTTACCTCAACCGCAACCATGGTCGGGCAAAGGTGGTATAGACCCCTCCGACTGTGAAATTCCATAGGCCTAATGTTGCAGCATCTAATCAAAAATTTTAACCCCACCAGGTACCCACTTATACTCCTGGATGTAGAGAAGCAATGCAGATAAAGTGCCTTGCCGAAGAACACAAGTGAAATGCAATATTGGGGGATTGAAACCCCGACCTCAAGGTTGGGAAACCAAACTGCTTTCGCTGCGGCAAACCACTACTTAAGTAGACTGTACTTAATATATATATACCAGTATCTCTTTGGATATACATGTACCTGTATATGCATTATTTGAATTGTTGAAATTTACAGTGTTATTAACAGTAACGGTTATTATACCTGGTCTAGTTTTGGGCTACCGAGTACTTTTAATAGTGGTGGCAACGTTAATGATTTTTTCAGCGAATCTGTTTCATCGACAGACGGCTTCTTCGTCTAAAAAAGTAAACACAAAAGAACATCCAAACATGCCAAACAAAAGAAAATGAACATGCAAACCAAAATAAAAAGAAATGTCAGAAATCAAAGCTTCCTAAGATCCACTGCATTCACTAAATATCAATTATAACAAAATTAATTTGTGTGTACAAATATATGAGTTATAAAAAGGGAAACTATTTTGTTACTTTCTATTTGTTTTATAGTCAATTTATATTTTTTGGAAGCACAGAAGTTATAATATACAAAAGTTTTGATATAAATTAACTTTTTTGATTTTCAACCAAATGAAGCATACGTAAAAGTACACTGGACGACTCATTCAAACAATTTAATAGATAAATTTCTACCGCATCCAACAAATACACAAACAATTATAACACAAACAAGTATAAGGATTTGAACCCAGAATTCTGAGATTGAAGGCTGTGGCTACTCAATATTCCATGATTATTGCCAATTAGTTCTAAGTTGTCTGATAATTTTCGGTGGAGGACACAGTAGGGTCTCTGCAACCCCTCCCCAAAATTGATGGCGTTTATTTCAACAACAAAGCAAAGCGTCATTCAAATTATTAGTGGTGGTATACAATCCAGGATCAAGGAAGAAATTCTTAATGAACATTTTGGAATGAAATTGGTATGTGCTGAATTACATACAAGACTATGAAACAAACTCTGGTAATTTAAGACATACTGCATCATTGAATATGACAGTGTATTAACAATTTCTTCCTGTGATGTCTTGGCTATCATAAATCGTAAATTAAATTAAATATCATGAATGCAGTGAATCCTTAGAAGGTACAATATTTGCACGCATTAACAAACGACATGAAACAGAAATTGGTAATTACAATAAGTGAGATGAGATGAATAATATACAGTGTGCAAGATTTTTGAAATTGTTAATATACTACTATATACAGTAATGTGCATAGATTTGAAATATTTAGAAAATGAAAACCTTTAAATAAAAAAAAAAAACAAAAAAAAAACATCAAATTAATTTTTATGGAAACAGAAAGCAAGGCCAAATAAAATTGTTTGTTTCATGTCCAGGAGCTGAAATTTTTTTGGCGGAGGGTATTCACTATTTGTTATTTACAATACTATATACTAGTGACAAACGGGCTGGTAATACAATTTTTTTTCTATTGAAGTATAATTAATCTTTTTAATGTATTCTACCATTTATGTTTACCTCTACTTATACTTTGACAAAATTCTTTCGAATTGTCGTAACTTTAATTTTCCATGGAAAAGTTGTTGTTTTAAATAGGAAATAGTAAATAATTATTTCATGAGGCTCCAAATTTCGACATGAAACTAGCAGTTAATTGTATTGCCTATAATTATGCACTACATCAGTTTATGATCTCTATCAGTTTTCCCCATGATAATATTCAATTGGGTTTCAACAATGATTCTGACAGGTTTCAGTAATAATCATAACATTATGAACTTTAAATGGTCAGTTTTGTATACATAAGTTATTATTTTATGTGCTTAATAATATATGTATGTATTCGTATACATTTATCTCTGGTTTTTATGAAAACACATTGGCCTTGTGATAAATTCCAACATCGTGAAAAAAGGATTTTTGTCTTAAAATAAACCTATTATTATTATTATTATTATTATTATTATTGATTGATATTATTATTGATGAAAATGTAATAATCCTTTTAAAGAGACGATTAAAAAATTTTCATGAGGATAAGTGACACAAATACTTGTACTTCCTGTAAAGGGACAGGGAAATATCCCATCGGCCAGGAGGGAGTTGAGAAGAGAAGGAAGTGATCTTGTGTTAAAAAAAATACAATTTTCATACCTATCATTAATATATATAAACATGTGTGAAATATTCTTAAATAAAGGAATTCAATAACTTTATTCCCACATGCACAAAAATCCTTAAATATGTCTTCTTACATTATTGTAAGTAAAGTGATAAAAGTACACAAAAACATGCAACTTTAAAAAATAAATCAATTCAACATGAAAACAAATCAAATAAAGTGTTCTAACATTGGAAATACTTTGAAAAAATATAAGTGAAATGCATAAAAATTATATAAGCAAAAGAAAATGCGTACATACCTCAGTGTGGCGTCTTTTTATAACAGCTTTACGTTGTAGCTTGGAGTTGGACCTTCCGATACCAGACTCTGGCTTACTGTCCCTGTAGTGACAAGAATAAAGAAACCATGGGTGTTACCGATCACAGAGTCAAAACCATGTCATTGGCCCAACCATGGCCTAACTACTAACTACTGTATCTACAACGCCACAATATTTCAAAGTCAATTAAAGTCTGCATCTCAGGAAGTGGTTGATATTTTTCGAGTCGTTTAATATTTGAGGTAAGTAATATTTTGACAGCTTATATTCCATTCAGTTAAAGGTCTATTTTTTTATTTTATACTCAATCATTTTAAGTACAAGGTAAGTCTATAAACACATGGAGATTTGTCTTACAATCTTTCCACTTAATTTTTTGTTTGTGCAGACTGGGGCAGAACAGATTTTAATTAATGAACCATTAGACTTGAATTCTCAAGATCTGCATCACTAGAGGATATACTTCAGACTTGAACTTAAAAAAGTTGAGACAACATAAACAAACAAAAAAATAGCCAAACTATTGTTAATGATTGTAAAAACAAAAAGCAATAAAACCCCAAATTGTAACACTATGATTGTCTGTGATTTTAAAGCTAATTAGCTTCCAACTGAAAATTTTATCTGCACCAATTTACTGATGCATATAATACAAATAAAGTTCTTGTATTTTTTTTAGCATGTTGACTGCCAGACCTTATTTTTAGGTTCCTTCCTGTGTGCCAAAACATGTACACATGTACGAACATCCTTTTTTGAAATTTTATCTAAAGTAGTCATATATCACCAAAATGGTATGTCTAATAAATTGGGCGGGAAAATATTTGGGGACGAGCAAACTCATTGCCAGCAATGGGACAGCAGTTTTTATTGCGCCTGCAAAGAGCGAGTATTCTCATCGCTTTATGCATGGGTTGGTATATGGTACAGTATATGTTCAGATGGTGCCCCTACTTGTGAAAACAAGTGTACTGCCAGCAACATAACACAATAAATATACATACGATTTGTATGTTATTGTGTAGATGTATATTCCCCTAATTATCAGCCGTTAAGTCTGTAGTTCTACAGTGTACTATAACAATAAAGTAATAAACGCTAGAATTTTACCCCGGTTTTGACGAGTATATTCGTCCATAGCGCCCTTAGCAACACCACGTGGGATGAGTATACTTGTTGCTGTTAAAAACCATATTTGGAAGTGACCCCTGCAGCATATCCTAGAAGACCCTCTTAAATAAATGAAATAATGTGATGCTTTTATCTCATGAGGCTTAAGCCCTTTCCAAACGATCAAATTTTATTTGACAAAAACAAGTGACATGCCTAAATATGGTCATGATGACATCACATCATTACCATATATAGGCACATCATGACTATATATGGACATACAAGTTTTTTGTCAAATAAAATTTGATAGTCTGGACAGGGCTTTAGAGAGTGGAATTGTATTTAGTTTTGAGAAACAGTCACAGGAATTGAACCCAGGACCCTGGGATTGAAAGGCAAGCACCTTAACCACTAAGCTATTCAACTCCATAGTATGCTTTAATTGTTAAGAAAGTTTTAAGTAAAACAATCTGCAAATCAGTGGAAATGCATACCATTAAGTGTTTTCTGTTGCATTTTCTGTTGTGTTAGAGTCTAAGATCATGAATTTTGGTTGGATATATAACAACCATACTCACAAAAAATTCTTTTATTGTTAGGAGAATAACCTACAACTCTAGTCTTAGTGTCATTGTGCAGAATTGCATATGGGCATGATTCGCTACTACTTTAGCAGCCATAGAGGGGTGGCGCTGAGTAGCTTAATGTCCAAACTATTCCACAACGACAGATGCTGAATAGAACCATAGCACCGGGGTGACACCCTACACTTCTGAAAGATGCAATTGGTTCCTTAAAGAGCACACGAGCCAGATGTGTAGAATACCTCCGTATCAAAGATTTAGTTCCACCAATCAAGTTCTAGGCAAGAAGTGGCTCCAACACTGCCAATGCTAAGGCTATAGTTAGCTTATACCGCCCAGCTGTAAGTGAACTATAAAAGCTTTAGCTCTACTAAAAAAAGTTTCCCTTATAAAGCAGCATCTCCACCTCTTTCTACTACTTGGTATTAACAAACATCATAGGTTTAAAAATATCCAAAAGCATACTTTAATCATTATTATCAATATTATTATAATCAATTTTCTAAAATAAAAAAATGTCACAACCCTTGATTTAAAGTGAGTAAAAAATAAAGTCCTGAAACCTTCATAAAGCCATCTGTTTGTTCTACACTACTTCCTTCTTACACAAATGTGTAATTGATTGCCTCGCTAGCCCCCTTGGCCCCAACTATGCATCTGTAAATTCCTACAAGGACTACACAGCTTGCTCCTCTGACCTACTTCTAGTTGACTTTGGAAGAAAACAAAAATACAGATTTTTGTTGACATCCTGCTTGCTAGAGAAGGTCTCTCATCATTAAACTTTAATGATATAGTGGTATGCTAAACGCCTCTCTGTGTACAGTTAATGAAGAAGAAACAGACAGAAAGTCACCAGATCACCTCCTGCATCCTTTCCTCTCCAAAAGCTACATCTCCCCTACACATGGCCCATTGTTTCCTGACAGGCAGGTCACACCTAGCTCAGCCCTTACCCTATGGGGCTGAGGTTAAAAACATTTAGTTTGTCACCTCTAGATGCCATAAAATGGCACTCTTAGGCCAGCTGCAGTCTCTAGCACTAAAAAAATGATTCTAGGCCTATATTTTTGAGATTTTAATGTAGCTCTGCAACAGCAGGGCATAGAGTCCTGATGGCTTGGCCGTGCCAGGTGGAACACCTGGTGGTGCCAACCATTTTCTATTTCCTTCCTACTTGTAGTGCAAATCCAAGAAAACTCAATTTCTCTCATTCTCTGGCCACACTAATTTATGTTATGTTCACTACAAGCAATTGTTGCACACGACATTACCAATGATCCCTCAAAAAATCACCCAGAGGCTCAGAAATACACTTTGTTCTAATGAATTTACCGAAATTGTAACCCTGTATTAAAATGTATTGTTGATGCTTTTGCAAATACTATAGATTGTATTATGATTTCAGAAAGTGGATAATACAGTATCTCTCCGGTAACATATTTTTAAGACAACAACATCCTGAATATATAATGTATTATTATTATTGCTTGCATTTAAAAAAAATATTTGTTGAACTCAAAATAAATTTTATAGGGGAATCAAGAATCAACAACGGAAGCAACAAAGTCCAACATGAAATAGTAATGTGCAAAAAAGATATATATTTTACACCCAGGCTCCAGGTGAAAAATAGTTGTTGATATGTACAACTGATTTTTTTTTTGTTTTTTTGGAAGGCACATAAAGGGTGTTTGATAAAAAAAAACAAAAAAAAAAACATGAGAATGGTTAATGAGATACAGATTTTTGAATACTGAAAAACTGGGGAAAAAGGGACGTAACTACCATTTTCCCCCTTTTTTTTTATTAAACTTTTTTTAACTCTCATACACATTCTCATAATGCATTTCTATGTTCTTTCCACATCAAAAAAATAATTTTATCTAAAATCATATTTAAAAAAAAACAAATAGGAAAAACATTAAGATATTATTAACGGCTGAAAATCAAATAAGAACATCATGTTTCACTGGAAATGACTTTCAATACTCGATGATATAAATCCGCTGTAAACAGATACATGCTAATCACCATAGGACATGAAATCCGTCTTGCATGACCTGTTCACGCGTGAGATAGAATATCTACAAATCAGCAATAATGCAATGGAGGTAGATGATCCTTACAATTAGAATGGGTTTTTGCCAGCCAGAAATGAGAAATAGCCATTGGAGGATACAATCTGCTGTGTAATGTAACAAGAAACGTATTATCATTACAACGGTGAAACATGAATGTGCACGAACGTGTTTACAGGTGCATGTACGTGTTTACAGGTGTGTACATACTCACTGATAGGCACTTCTGAATCTACTAATACGTGGATACGTCTGATTATATCAGAGTGGCAATAAAGTACCAGAAGGTGAAAAAAAAGTTCTTTCAGAATATACCTGCCTATTCTGAAAAAAAGAATATAAACTTTGAAATTCAATATTTGTTTTGCTTTGTAAATTTAAAGATGTTATTGTTCCCTGAAAAATAGCAGCAATTCATAAAAATCAAATCAAAGGTAAAATCAAAATTATCAACTTGAACGAAATTAGTGTATTTAATGTTTACCAATACATTTATCACCAAAAGTGATAAAAATTATAGAAACACTTCTAGTCTATGTAAGTTTTTCTATGATGTTTTATTACCATCTGGTATTAAAGTCAGGATAAACATTTCAAATAGGGGGAAACCAATTTCTTTACTTAAATTGTTGAAAGAGATGCATAAAAATTATAGCCATAAGGGCAGACCATTTTTTTAACTCTATAAAAATTTCACTATTAATAATTCGACAGTACTAATGAAACAAATTGTGTGACGTATGACTTCCGTTGACTGAATGGATACACTATGAACACCAGGTGTAAAACTGATTATTAGAAATGCTGTTTTATGTTTGTACATATTTACATAATCATTAATAGTATTTACATAAGAAATGTGGATTACTCTACATATCTACATATAAATAAATACTTCTCTGAAAACAATTAATTATAATCTCCCGCTGACCTGTTGATCAACACTGAAGTGTACAAAATACTTGTGGGTGACTGTCATTTCCATGACGACAAATACAACTGAAATCCTTTGGCGGTTTAACAATGACAAAGAGTAGTTCTAATGACATATTACTTGTAAATGTCAAAAGATGACACGTAAGTGGCCACACATGCGACACAATTACGTGGATAAATCACTCGTTATTAGACATATCACCTGCTCCGTCAAACCTAACGTATATCTTATACGTCAACTGCACATCTATTGATACTGTATCGCACATATCCTTGCATTTCCAACTTAATGAAGACATCCATCTCACATTCTCATTATTGTAGGAAGCGCATCACAGACTTATAAC